CTGAGATCTACAGAGACACTCGCTTGAACACCTCAGCAAGCGAAAGTCCAAAAGTGGCAGACTCAAACCCAGCACCTCAATCCATGGGTGATACCAGATGAGAGACTCACTCCTGGGCACACAGAAGACTGGGCGACTTGGAAGGCGCTGAACAGACTGCGCTCTGGCACCACGAGATGCAGAGCCAATCTTAAGAAATGGGGCTACATGCGGAGTGCGGAGAAGAGCAAACCACAGACCACCTGCTGCAATGCAACCTGAGCCCTGCTACATGCACAATGGAGGACCTTCTTGCGGCAACACCAGAGGCACTCCAAGTGGCCAGATACTGGTCAAAGGACATTTAATCAACTACCAAGTTTGCACAATTTGTGTTTTTTTTATCTGTTTGTTTGTTTGGTTCTGTTAGAAATGTAATACAATGGTATGGTTGCTGCTAAAAGTTTCGGCCATAACATGGACATTTTCTTCATTTATGTCTTGCTCCTTCTTCTAAAGCAGTGTTTCTCAAACTGTGCTCTTCTAGGTGTTTTGAACTTCAGGGTGCAGAAATCCCAGTCAGCTTACAAGCTGTTAGGCATTGTGGGAGCTGAAATCCAAAACATATGGAGGAACGCAGTTTGAGAAACGCTGTTCTAGAGGATATTCCTCCCTTCCTGAGCAAAAAACCTGCTGATCCAACAGGACAGACTTACAGATCAAACTTACCGCATCCCCCTGACTGTTCCGCTCTTCGGCTACTTCATCAAGTTCAAAGACCTGCCTTGGCAACCCTTTCTGTCTTTCCCTCTGTTTCTCAGGAGTGATGGCATTATACATGGTACTCAGCCTTTGATACCTGAATCAGGACAGGAAAACAATAACTGTGAGTGTAATTTTGCCAATAGAGACTTAGAAAAAAAGGCAGTGAAAATGCTGAAGGAATTTAGTCAACTACCACACTGAACTCTTGAAAAGTGCCATAGCATTTTAAAAGTGGTACTCATGTTACCTACTGCAGCAGAACAGCATTTTTTTTCCTATGAGCAAGGCACTGATATCATATGTGTTCCTTTTGGCTATGGCTATTTCTTTCCTTCATGGAAACATGTCAGGGACCAACAGCCAATGGTTTGTGCACCAGCACCATCTCTTCTGGAAGTCCTACCCAGTCAACTTTCATTCATGAGTTTTGATTTACATTCTATTGCCACTATATGTCAATTCAGGATCTGTGTTTGGTGCAAGTTTTTTTGTGTGTTTTACCTATGGATTTTATTGTATATATTTTCTGTTCATATGTTTTTGAATTGAATTGATTGTGCCCCGCCTTGAGCCATGAGGAGAGACAAACAATAAATAAAAGGTTAGTATTATTATTGGAGTCAAAGAAGAAAATTGAATAAGTCACATTTTCATGGTTGAACTACATCAAGGCTCTGTACAAATAATTAAAATTAGGAACTGCCTCAAAACCATATAACTGATTCCTCTGTGGATTTTGGAAGCAAGTACTGAAGCAGTAAGACCAAGCACCAAGAATGTAAGGGTGGCTCAAGCTAGAATGGTATCTACTTGTATGGCTATAGCTTTAGTTATTTCCTTGGTGTCTCTGTTACACTGTGGCAAAAAATATGGTGACCAAAACAAGTCTTATGGCCTCCTCCTGAAAGCCAGAATTAACTACATTACAACATATTAATAACATGTTTGCTTTATGCATTGGTAGTGACTACTATTGTGATGTTCTGGGCTCCTCAAGAGAAGAATTGACTGTTTCACTGTGAACTAAAAATCACAGAACTTCAAATGGACACTTAGATGGGGAAGGAACCCTATGACTTCTTCTGATGTCATCTATATTTTGAATACAGCTGAACCCTGGTTCAAAATATACTGAGAATCAACAAGACCCACCTGCTTAGTGAAGCAAGTCATCAGCCACAGGCTATGGGGTGGGGCACTGAAATGTTTGTTATGCAGAAGTCAAGGGAAATCTTGTCTGACAGAATCAACTCCGCTTGAAAGACTCGCAATAAACAAGGTTGGCATGTCTTTACCTACAGCATTCAGGTGGAACATCAGAGGGCAAGACCTCCTCCTCTGCTACTTTTAAAACAATAATTACTGAAAAGACTTGAGATACAGATCTATGCATAAAATGATCAATGCCACAAAATAAAAGCTTACATAATACATTAGTGCACTCTTTAATGAATGGCAAATAAATTATCCCCAAGTGTTTTAACAGAAGGCCCAAAAGAAGAAAAGTGTGGGAATTTTGTGGATCCTTCACTGTGTAAGGCTCTTTCCCATAGGTGAGTCTCTNNNNAATCCTCCCCCACTCCAATCAAGCAGGAAGCTGAGGAGGGAGAAGAAAAATGGGCAAGAAAGCCATCTTGGTACTATGCACTTTCAAAAAGCACCCATCAAAAACAATGCTAACTGTTCTTCATTCCCCTTTACCCGTCACCAATCATGCAAGATGCAGGAGGAGTAAAAACGTTGCTGAGTCAGTTGGCAATTGCAGGAGTGCCTTGTGAATATGACAACTGGGTTTCTTCATCTGCTACTTGCTGTCCCAACCAGGGCAAGACAAGTGCCTGGATTGTCTAGTGCTATGAGGAACAGTTACTTCAAGTATTGGCTAGGTTCCTTCACCTAAAGTTAATTGTCCCAATCAGGAAAATGCGTGATGGACAAATCCAAACACCATCAAACTGCCTCGTTCAATGGGATGAGAGCAGATAAGTCTACAGAGGAGAGATCTATCCTGCTATCTGGCTTGCTCTCGAAAATGAGATGATGTGAAATCTAGTGCCTACAAACAATCACATCCATCAATCATGATTTAAGCAGTGCACTGTGAGCTCACATTTGAAATATTTCACTCTTCATATTAAATTCCCCAACACTAATACCACAATGACAGTGTGCCATCCTTTCCTAAGCAAGCTGCAAGAGCGGAATTACCAAACTTACTTCCTCTGGACAATAACCCAGTTTTCTGTATAGACTTGTACAGCATCCCGTACTCGGGCATCTTGTTTCCTGTAGAAGAAAGAAGAGGGAAGAGGTTCTGATTACAAAATGTGTAGCCTAGTTAAAATGACAATAACAACAATGTGTCAGTAACTTCTACAAACTTATATGTCAGGACAATTTTGAATAAATTTCAACATATTTGGCCCTCACGTGTTTAAGAAATAATAATA